GTCGTCGTCGTCGTCGTCGTCGTCGTCGTCGTCGTCGTCGTCGTCCGTCGTCGTCGTCGTCGTCGTCGTCGTCGTCGTCGTCGTCGTTGTCGTCGTCGTCGTCCTCGTCCTCGTCCTCGTCGTCGTCGTCGTCGTCGTCGTCGTCATCCTCGTTCTCGGTCGTCCTCGCCCTCGTCCTCGTCGTCGTCTTCGTCGTCGTCGTCGTCGTCGTCGTCGTCGTCGTTGTCCGGGACCCGATGGCCCGCCCCGCTGGGTTTCTTGGGTTCCGATGGTTATCCTGCGGAAACTGGAACATTCCCACACCGAAAATCAATGGACGTCCTGGGGTCTCAGGGTTGGGTTTCTTGTGAAAGGTTCCTTGAGGACTGGCCTCCACTGTAGATGAGGTTCCTCTTTGACTTTTTAGTGTGTTCCGGCGGCGATGCGTGGTCCTCGTCTGTCCTCTCTTTGCCCCTGCGCGTCCTCACCCCAGGAGACCTCATCCTCCCCTAGTTAGCGCGGGAGGAGAAGGAGGGATCGTGCAGCACGAATGGAGGAGAGGAGGATGGGGAGCAGGCGACGGTGTGGGAGATGGGAAGGGGGAGGAGTAGGAGGAGGAGCAGGAGGAAGAGGAGGAGTAGGAGGAGGAGGAGGAGGAGGAGAAAGAGGAGGAGGGGTTTGTGTTCATGGGCGGCGGCTGTTCCAAACACTCTGTGGTCGAGCTTTCCCGTTCTGACTGATGCTTGGCCATGACGGGTGAACATGCCAACCTTCTGCGCGAAGGCACAGCCCCTGTCTGGGCACCCCATACCCTCAGACCTCACAGTCGGCGGAGCTTGGGGTGATTTGGGGGTTGAGATTTGTTCTTAGAGGCTGGAGCTAATTATTTCAGCGGCTGCAAGGGCTTTGGCAGGCCTTCGTTGCCCACGATCCAGCATGCTTGCCTTATGATTCACGGCGTATCTGTCGCTGGCTCTGAGATGTTTTGTTTGTCCAAAGCCGATGCCCACAATGATCTAGATGAGCAAGGCATCTTTTCTCAGGACAGATTCGCTCGTCGCAGCAACTGCGTTGCCGACGCTGGTTCCAAGCGTGGTGTCAGGCGGCACCCTGGCTTCTCGGCCGACGAGGGGGGCACCGCCTGTTCTCTGTACCGTCGCGATCGCCAGGTGTGGCACGGACCTCGCTGTTGCTGTGCTTCCTTTTTTTTGTTTTGCTCTCTTCCTCTCTCTCCATCTCTCCTCGGGTGGCGTTTCGGGGCGCGTAAGCAGGGTCCTCCTCCTGCTCTGCCTGCAGCTCGGCGGGGCCCGCACCACCTCCTCCGCCTCCTTCTCCTCCTCCTCCTCCACCTCCCTCCTCCTCCGCCTCCTCCGCCTCCTCCTCCGCCTCCTCCGCCTGCTCCTCCGCCTCCTCCTCCTCCGCTCGGCGCGTGTGCCCGGCTTTGTGGCGCTGCCGTGGTTTGCCCCCTGGGGGTTGGCCCGCCCCTCCGCGTTGTCCAGCCGAGGGGCTTCCCGCCGCGGACACGGCGCGCTGGACGGCGTTGTGCTGGATCGGCTCCAGCACCGTTCAGGAGGGCAAAGAACACGCAGAGACACAATGAATCGTCGATTCCCCAGAAAGTATTGGGAAAAGATGGGAAGTGGGGGAGAAGACAAAAACCCTGAAAAACATAGCATAGAACATGTGGAGAATCCTGTCTCACTCTCTCTCTTGTCCCGGTTGTCGGTCGTGTGTCTCGGGCGCTCGGGCCTGTAACGCTGGGGAGACGTGTCATCCGCCGGCGGTGGCTGGCAGCAGGAACTGGAACAGGAGCAGGCAAGGAAGGCACCCTTGTAAGTCATGAGCGGACTTCAGTTCGGACCTGGCCGAATTTTCGATCGCGTCGCTGCACATGTCAGCCTCTTTTTTGTTCCTGCTGCCTGTTTGAGGCGCCGTGGATGGCAACACAAGGAGAGCGAAAAAGGGGAAGGGAAGGAGGCGAAGACCGACGAGGAACAGGATGCACAAGGGTCCTCGCTTCTTCTCGTCCTGGAGCCGAGAGACAACAGAGGGGACCTTTTCCGTTGCTTGCCAGGCGTGAACCTTCCTTTATCCACCTTTGGCGCTGGATAGCGCAGCTATGCCTCCTTCTGGTGTTGGGCAGCGACAGCTCACTGCCCGTCCAGCCCTCCCGACACCGTGGCGAGAGGCGGCTGGCGCGTTCGCGCCGCACACCGAGGAACGAAAGAGAAAGAGGGGAATCTGAACAGGAAGAAACGCCGTGCGAGTCATAGGTGCACTGGCAAATGTGAAGCGACCGCTGGTACCACACTTCCAAAGACACCTCTGTGAATATAGCGCCGGGCAGAGTCTGCGGCGGCGACCGCGACAACGACAGCGACGACGAATATCGACGACGACGACGACGCAGGCGAGGACAGGAATACGAGGACGAAGCGAGACGAGAAGATGAGCGAGCACGAGACGGGGCGAGACAAAAGAGAGAGAGAGAGAGAGAGAGAAAGAGAGAGAACGAGCGAACGTGCGAGCGTGCGAGCGAGACCGACAAATCAATGGACGTCCTGGGGTCTCAGGGTCGGGCTTCTTGTGGAAGGTTTATTGTGGACTGGCCTCCACTGTACCTCCAAGCTTGCCGCAAGCTCACTCGAAGGATTGAACGGTACAGCGATCAGGACGCGGTTGACATGCACTAGATGCGGCTTGAGAGCTGAGCTTTTGGTCAAGCTCTGGCTGCAATTCAGCAATCGAGGGCTGGTTTCGGGAATGCGCTGCCGTCTTTGCGGCAGTGTCCGCAAAGTTGCCCCACTGAGGGTGCTTCCACGCGTCTTAGGTTGTAGGGAAACGATTGGCATCCTGATGGGCCTAAATGCTTCTCCTACTGAGTCGCCATACTGAGAGGAAGTTCAGTGGAGGATCAAGGAGGAGGCGGAGGAGGAGACACCGGAGGTGCGTGTGTGTGTGAATGCTATGTGTTGTGTGTTGTGTGTGTTGTGGTGTGTGTGTGTGTGTGTTGTGTGTGTGCTTGTTTGTGTGTGTGTTGTGTTTTTGTGTGTTGTCTGTTGTGTGTGTTGTGTGTGTGCGTAGTGTTGTGGTGTGTATCGTGAGTTGTGTATGTGATGAGTTGTGCGTGTGCGTGGGTGGTGGTAGTGCGGTTGATGTGTGTGGTGCGTGTGTTGAGTGTGTGGTGTGTGTGGGTTCTGGTGTGTTGTGTGTGGGTGTGTGTGTGTGTGGTGTGCGCGGGGGGGGGGGTAGGGGGGTGGGGTGTGTGGGGGTGTGGCTGTGTGGGGGGGTGGGCGTGGTGGGGGGGGGGGGTGGGTGGGGGGGGGGGGGGGCGGGTGGGGTGTGGGGGGGTGTGGGGGTGTGCGGTGTGGGGGTGTGGGGGTGGGGGGTGTGTGTGTGTCTGTGTGTGGTGGTGGGTGTGGGTGGGGGGTGGGTGGTTGAGTGGGTGGGGGGTGGGTGGGTTTGGTGGGTGGGGGGGGGGTTGGGGGGGAGGGGGGTGCGTGGGTAGGAGTGAGGAGATGACGGAATAGAAAGGAGGAACAGGAGGTGGAGATATAAGGGACCCAGGAGGAGGACAGAGGAGGAAGAGGGAGACGAAGAAAGAAGCACGAGAGAGATTGAGGGGACGAGGGAACCGGAGAGTGAGGAGACGGAAGGGGACAGGGTGGGGGCGCGAGGAGGGGGGAGTAGGGGGGATGGGGAGGAGAGGCAGGAGGTGGAGGCGGAGAAGCAGGCGGAGGAGGGATGGGGGCGAGAAGTCGACCGGAGGGAGGCGGAGGAGCAGGAGGAGGAAGAGGGATGAAGGAGGATGGGGAGGAGGAGGAGGGAGGAGGAGGAGGAGGAGGATGCAGTGCGGTTGGCGTCGGCCCCCGTGTTGCAGCCCCAGAAGCCCGCGCTTCGCCCCCCGCTCGCCGAGGAAGAGCTGGAGCGGCAGCGCAGCGTTCTGCAGAAGGTGCGCGAGCAGGGAGGACGGGGGGGAGAGAGGGGAAGCGAGGGGAGAGAGGAGGAGGGCTCCTCCTCCTCCTCCTCCTGCTCCTCCTCCTCCTCCTCCTCTTCCTCCCTCTCCTCCCCCTACCCCCTTCCCTCCTCCGAAGGAGGTAGGAGGGGGAGAAGGAGGACGCGGAGGAGGAGGAAGGGTTGGAGGCCGGGAGGGAAGGAGGGAGGAGGAGGAGGAGGAGGATAGGGAAGGGTCCCGTTGGAAGATCACCCTTTGAAAGATCCGGAGTTGTACCAGAACACCATTCTCGGAATTTCACACAGTAAGGGCTAATGTGATTGTCGAGACCCGAAGATCCTGTATCGCGCCAGAACACCATCCCTGGGAATTTCAACACCGTGAGTCAACGTGATTGTTGTGCCCTGATGTACCGACATCGCGCGCCAAGACACAACTTCTGGCAGGTTAACCTTGATCAACTTGACAAGACTGCATTTTTTGACGAACATGCGCGGCGCTGAAGCGAGAGCCACATGTTGAAAACGGACCGCCCTCCATTTGTGAACATCGGGCAGTTCTGAGCACGAATGTGCGCGGGCTGAGGCAAGATCCACATGTTGAAAACGGGCCGCCCCCCATCCGCGAAAACCGTGCAAAGTGTCACGACGAAAGTGCGCGGCGCGAAGGCGAGAGCCATACTTTGAAAGCGGACTGCCCTTCACTCGCGAAACTCTTGCGGCGACGTATTGCGACGAATGTGCGCGGTGCTGCGGCCAGAGTCACTTTTTGAGAGTGGACCGCTCTCCATCCGTGAAGCTCTTGCAAGTTTCAATCTTCAGGATCATAAATGGTAGGGAGATCACTGGTGAAACCTCCAGTTCGCCCTTTCAACCGGCCTCGGGGTGCGACAGAGAGGAGTTTTCCACATAAGGAAGAGGGACGAAGGAGAAGGAGGAGGACGAGGGGGAGGAGGCGGAGGAGGTCGAAGATGAGGAGGAGGAGGAGGAGGACCAGAGTAAAACCAAGGCGCATCAACGATGCGGCAGCACATCCTCCCTCCAAGTTCTTTCTTCAGATGCCATTGCAACAGTGTATTTTCAGTGCGGGAAGCGGCCCTTTGAACGACGACCGTTGGGTAATCTTCCCCAAATGGTGCTTGTACCTAGGGCTTCTCACGTCTCTTCTAACGAACTGGGCCTGATCGTCGGTCTGGCGACACTGTTGCCGCTGTCTCCGACCCGTCGTCGCCTCGTCGCCGCCCGTCGTCTCGGCCTGACCGTCGGTCTGGCGGCTATGTTGCCGCCGTCGCTGCCCCGTCGCCGTCTCGTCGCCGCCCGTCGTCTGGGCCTGACCGTCGGTCTTGCGGCTATGTTGCCGCCGTCGCCGTGCCGTCACCGCCTAGTCGCCGCCTGTCGTCTGGGCCTGACCGTCGGTCTGGCGGCTATGTTGCCGCCGTCGACGTCCCGTCGCCTCTCGTTGCCGCCCGTAGTTCAAGGCTGAAGGGTGGGCCGCTTCCAAGATGCCGTTCTCCATGCAGCGCCGCGCACACTCGGCCTGAACAAAATCCAAGAGTTCACGGGTTGAGGGCGGGCCGTTTTCAAAATGTGGTGATCGGTTTAGCGCCGCGCGGATTTGTGCCAAACAAATGCAAGCGTTTTGCAGGTTCAGGGCGGACCGTTTTCAACATGTGGTTCTCGCTTAAGCGCCGCGCGCATTCGTTTTGGACCTTTTCAGGGTGTCACGGATTGACAGCGGTTCTTTTTTCAATATGTGGTTCTTGTTGTAGTGCCGCGCACAGTCGGGATGTTTGCTCTCGGGTTCCGATGGTTAGCGTATTAGAAATGGCGGTCTGGAGAGATTTGGTATTATGAGGGCGCAACAGTTACGTTGATTGGTGATGTTGAAGTCCAAGGAATCATGTTTTTGCACGTGTCGGGATCGCCCAAACACAACAGTTGATTCGTGGCGTTGGCACTCCGAGAATGGTGTCTCGGCACGTTCCAGGATCTTCCAACGGTTGTCTAGCCACCAGGGTCTTTCCCGATGTGGAACTCAACCATTGTAGGGGTTTGTGAAGAGGGAGCTTGGAGGGAGGGTGCATTCCAACATCGGAGATGAATCGTGGGTTGACACTGGTCCTCCTCATCCTGCCTCCACCGCCAGCCCAATGCCCCGAGCCCGTGGCAAAGTCAACAAGCTCGTCATTAACATTGTCGCCAGGGTCATCGTCGTCGTCGTCCTTCTGGGTCAGTGGCAGGATGAGAGTAGGAGGAGGAGGGAGAGGGATGATGATGATGTTGATGGTGATGATGATGATGCTGATGATGATGAGGATGAGGATGAGGATGAGGATGATGACGATGAAGGTGACAATGGTGATGATGCTGGTGATGGTGGTGGTGAATATGTTGATCATGATGATGATGCTGGTGCTGATGATGATTATGATGCTGATGCTGCTGATGATGGTGATGATGGTGATGAGGGTGATGATGGTGATGGTGGCGATGACGGTGACGATGACGATGATGACGACGACGAAACCGAGGACGATGATGATGAAGAACAATAAGACGATTATGTTGATAATGAGGAGGCTTATGATGATTAGCAGGAGGATGATGAGGAGGATGATGTTGAATACGGAGATGATGATGGTCACGGTGATGAGGGGGCTCTCCTGGAGTCCTTGAAGGGCGTCTAGGGGCGCTGGTGGGGCAACCTTGGAGCTCCCTTGAGGAGTGGAGAGGCCCTATTGGGGCCATGTGGGGGAGTCTGTGAGGAGGATGGCAATACTAAGAATGGTGATGAGGAGAAGGAGGCATAGGATGAACAATTAGGGGAGGATCGAGCAGCCGATCGTCCTGCTACAGCGTGGCCAGCAGCCGTCCGCGCCCGTCGGCCTTGTAGCTCTCATGATGCGTATGCCCTCTCGCGTCCCCGCCCGGCCGAATCCTATGTAACAGGTCAGTGGGGAACATTTGTTTTGGTAGTGGGTCGGAATCCTCATGGATGTGTCTTGGGATCTCTTCGCAGCACTGTCGGGTGTCTATGGAGGCAGTTTGGAGGCCGCTTGGGAGCCTCTCTGAAGCCTCTTGGGTCTTCCTGGGGGCCTCTTGGAGCCTTTAGCCTCTTCTTGGGCTCTCCTTGGAGCGCTTTGAGGCGGTGAGCTCGAAATATCGGTTCTTGTTCGCCATTTGGGCTTTTCCTGGAAGGTTCTTGGGGCCGTTTGGGGCCATCTTGTAGGATTCGTTGGCCATCTCTGGAGCCGTTGGGGTCGTGCCGTTGCCCTCTTGACAACCTCGTAGGACGTATTGTGCCGATACTTTGAGGCTTCTCGGGTCGTCTTCGAGCGTCAGGAAGCCGAGCAGGCAGACGCGAGAAAATCGTTGAACCGCCGACGGATATTCAAATACTACATGTACCGTCTTTGAGGCCTCTTGGGGCATTTTGGAGGCACCTTGGGCCGTCTGGAGGCCATCTTGGGCGTCTTGGAGCAATCTTTCGGCGACTCTGGGACCCCCCTTGGAGTATATTGGACCCGAGTTGCCGGATGTGGGCCTAATTTGGTCGAAGGCGGCCCGAAACAGGAAAGGGGGTGATTGTATTCTGACTCGGGACCGCCTCCAGGTGCCCCCCCCGTGGGGACTCCTCCCCGACCACCCCCTCCTTCCCCCCGGACCTCCGCTCCCCCCCCGCCGCCCCCCCCTCCATGGGTGGGCACAGGGTCACGAGGAAGGCGCTCCCCCCCGTTCGACTCGATTACGACTTCGATTGCGACCAGGCTCGATTCACCTCGAGTTAACGAGCCTGGCGCCCAAAACAGGGTCATGAGCCGGGCGAGCCCAAGAGAACGCCAAAGGGTGTTCCGACAACGACATATCCATAGCTTTCCCTCACACATGCCGACTGGGTCTGCAGTTTTTCGAACACATCATAATGCCTGGGACTTCAACGCCGCGAGTCAACATGACTGCTGCGTCCTGACCGTCCTGAATCGTGCAATAACGCTTTCCCTGGAACTTCATCGCAGCGAGCCAACGTAGCTGTCGCATCCTGAGCAACCTAATTCGTGCCAGACGACCATTCCTGGGACTTCAGACTTACGACTCCTTGAAGCCTTTGAAAACTACTAGGACGAACGAGCACGTTGCTGAGGCTAGAGCCACACTTCGAATAATGCAACTGCCTTCCATCGTCAAACCTGTTACGAATTATTCAAACGAATCTGCGCGGCGCTAAGGCGAGATCCACTTTTTGAAAACGACCCTCCCGCCATCCTTGACTGTTGTAAGTCTTGACGACGAATGCTGGCAGCGCTAAGGCGAGAGCTGTATTTTGAAAATGGCCCACGCTCTGTATGTGAAGCTGTTGCAAATGTCAGGCCTCAGCATCAGAGATAGTGAGGAAGCCTCAGGATAATCCTTGCCCGCCCTTCGGACACGTCTGAGGGTGCCACAGGGAGAAGTTGCTTGTGAGGTACAGCCGTCAGCCCGTATAGTAAGGATGGGCAACCTTCCCAATGGTACCCTCGCATCCTTGCCGCCTCGATCCATCCTTGGCCGTTTTCGCTGGCAGCGCCCCGCTCGAAGAGCTTCGATGTGGGTGCCTAGGGCCATTGCATCCTTATCGCGCATCCTTAGGATACGGGCTGACTGCACACGTACGTGAATCCACGCTGGGGTCGAAAGCGCGCGAATTGGAGGGCCGTGTACATGTACGTGGCTGGGCGCGTACATCCTCTGCGGGCTCCCATACAGTCAACCCGCATTGGGCAACGATAGGGGCAACCATACAGTCAACCCGATGCGCGATAAGGATGCAGGGGCATACAGTCAGGATGTGCGATAGGGGTGTGCGATAACGATAGGGGCATAAGGATGCGCGATAAGGATGCAGGGGAGGGAGGGAGGAGGGAGGAAGAGGAGCCCCTGCCCCTCCTCGTCCCCCCCCCCCCCTCCCCTCGTCCCGCGCCGTGCGGCTGGTGGGGTGCACCTTGTCGGCGTGACCCCGCCTGCGAGCGGCAGGTGCCGTCGCCAGGGGGGCGGCGCGGCCGCGCGAGCCCGAGCCCTCGGCGGGAGAAGGGTGGACGGCGACGAGGACGAGGACGAGGAGCGAGCAGCGAGGAGCGAGGGAAGGGTCGTAGAAGGGCGGAGGAGGAGGAGGAGGAGGAGGAGGAGGGAGAGAAGGTGGGGTGGGCGGAGGGGGGGAGGAGGAGGAGGGAGGGGACGAGGAGGAGGACGAAGGGGAAGGGGGCGAGGAGGGAGGCGGAGGAGGAGGAGGAGAACTTCCTCCCCCCAGCCTCCCCGCCCCCCCGCTTGCCAGTCCACCCACGAGTCGCACCGAGAGCTGCACAAGCTGCAGGCCGGTGCCAAGGAGAGGAGGACAAGCAGGTGGAGGAGGAGGAGTAGGAATGGGAGTAGGAGGAGGAGGAGGAGGAGGAGGAGGAGGAAGAAGAGGAGGCGGGGGAGGTCGAAGAGGAAACGGTGAAGGAGGACGACGAGGCGGAGGCGGAGGAGGAGACGGAGGAGAACGCGGAGGAGGAGGAGGAGGAGGAGGAGGAGGAGGAGGAGGAGGAGGAGGAGGAGCGGCAGGAAAGGTTGCATAGGCAGAACGGGAGGAGGATGAGGAGGTGGAGGAGGGGGAGGAGGTGGAGGAGGAGGCGGGCGCAGCAGCAATCGAGGAACGAGGAAAGAGGAGAAGAGTGCCAGGAAGTGCGAGCATGAGGAGCCGAGGCAGGGCGGACGAGGATGATGATGACGAGGAGGAGGAGCAACAGGACGGAGAGGAAGGACTGAGGGAGGATACGGCGGAGAGGGAGGAGAGCGGATAAGATGGAGTAGTCATGCTAATCGAGCACATCGGATCATTTTCCGTCCCAGTGGTGACAGCTTCTCGGATTGCAAGTAGGGTGCGCGACACGATCCAGATGGATCAGTTGGCGGCGGTGTGCTTCCGTCTGGGCTTCACTTCTCCCTAGCAGCCCCCCTCATCTCATCCCCTCGCCCCGTTCACTTTTAAACCCTAGCTTCAAACACTCTCCCTCCTCGCAGCGCCCCTTTCTTGACTGCCTATCCTTTCGGTCCCATCCCTCCCATCCCATCCGAGCCCCTTTTATCCACATCCCCCTTTCTCTAACTCCCTCGTCTTAGTTCTCCCTCCCATCTCATCCGAGCCCCTCTAGCTACATCCTATACTCTCCATCCTACACCTCCCATCCCAAACCCTCCATTCACCTCCCTCTGCCTCCCTCTTCCTCCCATCCTAAACTCCTTTCCCCCCTCCCCCTCTCTTTCCCTCTCCTTTTCTCTCTCTCTCTCTCGCTCTCTCTCTCTCTCGCGCTGTATGTAGACACACTTATTCATACATATATATATATATATACATGTCAGAGTGAGGGGCCGAACTTTCATTCATTGTCCCTGAGTGCGTGGCTGAATAGGGAACTCGTGGTGAGAATTCTGCGTGTTGCGTTGTTGTTGTTGCTGTTGTTTGTTGTCGCCGTCCCACCCGCGACCCACCCGCGACCCACCCCGCGACCCACCCCGCGACCCACCCCGCGACCCACCCGCGACCCAACCCGCGACCCACCCGCGACCCACCCCGCGACCTACCCAAACCCACCCAAGGCCCACCCAAGACCCACCCCGCGACCCACCCGCGACCCACCCGGGACCCATCCGCAACCCATCCGCGACCCACCGCGACCCACCCCGCGACCCACCCACGACCCACCCCGCGACCCACCCTCAAGGGAGGAAAAACCACCCGGACCCGACAATTTACGTTTATTAAGCGGCCTTGGGCGTGTACGTTTTTTAAACGGCTTCACTAGTCGGGGTGATTTGTCTTGGGAGAAGTTTCTGCTTTCTAGACCTGCGACCCAACAGCGACCCAACCGCGACCCATTTGCGACCCACCCGCGACCTATCCACATTGGTTTGGTTGAGCGAAAACATCGGCACCTGCGGCGGGCTTCTCCAGAGTCTCGCAAACTGCCGACGTCCCCACCGCCCCCCTACTCTTATCCGCATCTGGGGTGGGTGCTACGTATGTGTGCATGCTGTCTGTATTTCTCCTTATCCAATTCTCCCTCCCGCCTCTCTTTCTCTTGCCTCCACTCCCCCGCCTCCATCCATCCATCCAGCATTTCCTCTCTTCTACTCTTCTGCCTCCGGCTGATGGTGCTGCCTCTCCTCCTGTGTCTTGTGTGATTTCCCCACGTATATAACGTATGCAGAGATGTATGTGGGCTAGCCCGCTTGGTCTACATCACACAACGACCCTCTAGCAACATAGGTGTCGCACTCTCTCTCTCTCTCTATATATATGTGGGGGGGGGCAATATAGGTAGTGCAAACTGTGTTGTGCACTCCATGTTGTGCAACACGCGTGAGGAACTTCGTTTGTACATTGCACGTGTTGCGATACAGGTGGTGCAAGGTAAGTGGTGCAATACATGGCGCGCAGCATATGCGAAACAACATACGTCTTTTGCAATCCAGCTGGTGGAATACATGTGGTGCGTTCTGTGTGGTGCAGTATACGTTTACTGTAGATGTAGAGCTAACTTGCGCATTCCAATCCAGGCGGTGCAATCTATACATATGTGTATATATATGTATATATACATATATATATAGGTGATGTACTTAATTTCTGTTCGGATTGAGTTGTCCACTCCACTGCTCGCGCAAACATCCCGCCCATCCAGCGGCCCCTTGGTTTGCAAACTTCATGCGGCGGCGATTGCGATGAGAGCGCGGCGCTGGCTGGTGCATCTCCGCGGCCGCGCCAGCCCGCGCGTGCGCGCGCGCAGCGGCCAGGAAGTTTGGCGCGACCGACGCGGCCGCGGTGGTTCTGACCGTTCGGCACATCCCAGAGGGCACTTGAGTGCGAGTCCGCGACTTGGGTGGGTGCGGTATCATGGCAACGTCGACTATTGTAGACACGATGCGAATGATGGTCGCGATGCTGGCGAGGATGCTGACAGCGAAGACGGCACGGCCAGTGATGGCGCCGATGCCGACCACGCCGGCGATGACGGCGTCTCCGCGTCGGTGATGAAGGTTTTGGAAGGAATTCGGAATGTGCGCGCGGCAGACCTGCGAGGGCGGCTCGCATGGAATTATTTGACACGGACCGTGCTACCCCAGCACGCGCGCAAACGGCGTTCGCACGATTTCGACATGCGCGCGCGAAGCCCTTTTGGTAGCACGTTAGAACAATGTTGAAACACGCATGGTTTTCTAAAGAATTCGCAAGAGCGCGCGCACACGTTTGTTGAACATCCGCGTTGCGAAACCCAGTGTTTTGTATGTTTTGTGGACGTTCGATCTGTGAAATCTTCACCGACGTTCGCAGTGAGTTGTGAACTCCACTGCTCGCGCAACCGTCCCACGCGCCCACCCGCAACTTGACTTGCAAAACCCATACGGCGGCGATTGCGCTGAGTCCCTGGCGTTGGCTGCTGAGTCCTTGGCGTTGGCTGGTGCATCCCTGCGGCCGCGCTAGCCCGCGCATGCTCGCGCGCAGCGGGCAGACAGTGCGGCGCGACCGACGTGGCCGCGGTGGCGCTGACCGCGGGACATTTCCCAGCGGGCACACCAGAGCGAGTCGATTAGGTGAGCGGGCGCGGTATCATGGCGATGCCGACAACGGCTGACACGATGAGGAGAGTAGCGATGATGGTTGCGATGGTGGCGATGACGGGACGGCAAGGCAATTTTTTGCGCCGGTGTTGATCACGCCCCCAATAACGATGCCGATGTCCTCGCGTCGGTGACGAAGGTTCTGGAAGGAGTTCGACATGCTCGCGCGGCCGAGGCGCGCGAGTGGCCCGCGTGGTACGATTTGAAACGGATCGTCGTCCCTCAGCACGCGCGCGAGGGCCTTTGGACGACTTCGACATGCGGCGTCACAAGCCCGTGTTGCATAATGTGTTGCCAGCGACGCAGAACCGATGGCTTCCCCACGAATTCGACATGGCGAGCCGAGATTCTGGTGTTTTTGCACGCGGATGTATATGGGGGGGGGGGGTCGACCCCGAATTGCCCCGCCGCGCCTAGGAAGGCACGGATGTGCAGTCGGGGGCCCGTCGCCGACGCATCGGCGATGTATCGTCGGCTCAAGGGCTCATCTCCCGATGACGTGGGTGGCGCGAGGCCGCGGGGCCGCGGACAGGAGCGCGCGCAGCGCACCGTCGGTCGCGAGGCGCGAACAGCGGGGAGCGTCCCGTCGGGGCGCGCGCCCTCGCCTCCCATGCGCGCCTCGCCGCTTCCAGGGCGACCTCCGCGCCAAGGAGAACGAGCTGGTGAAGGGGGGGGGCGTGCGGCACCGGGCAGCGAAGAGGAAGGGGGGGAGGGACGAGGAACAGGACAGACAAGGGAGATAATGAGCAGGAGAAGGAAGAAGAAGAGGAGGGAGGAGGCGAGGAGAGCAAGGAGGAATCGAAGGAGGACGGAGGGAGAGAGCATGGATAAGGATGGGGAGAGGAGGAGGAGGAGGAGGAGGAGGAGGAGGAGGAGGAGGGAGGAGGAGGAGGAGGAGGAGGAAGGAGGAGGAGGAGGAGGAGGAGGAGGAGGAGGAGGAGGAGGAGGAGGAGGAGGAGGAGGAGGAGGAGGAGGAGGAGGAGGGAGGAGGAGGAGGAGGAGGAGGAGGAGGGAGGAGGAGGAGGAGGAGGAGGGAGGAGGAGGAGGAGGAGGAGGAGGAGAGGAGGAGAGGGAGGAGGAGGAGGAGGAGGAGGAGGAGGAGGAGGAGGTGGAGGAGGAGGAGGAGGAGGAGGAGGAGGAGGAGAGAGTAGGAGAGGAGGAGGAGGAGGAGGAGGAGGAGGAGGCGGAGGGAGGAGGAGGAGGAGGAGGAGGAGGAGGAGGTGGAGGAGGAGGTGGAGGAGGAGGAGGAGGAGGAGGAGGAGGAGGGAGGAGGAGGAGGAGGAGGAGGAGGTGGAGGAGGGAGGGAGGAGGAGGAGGAGGAGGAGGAGGAGGAGGGAGGAGGAGGAGGAGGAGGAGGAGGAGGAGGAGGAGGTGGAGGAGGAGGAGGAGGAGGAGGAGGAGGAGGAGGGAGGAGGAGGAGAGAGGAGGAGGGAAGGAGGAGGAGGTGGGAGAGGAGGAGGAGGAGGAGGAGGGGGAGGAGGAGGGGAGGAGGAGGAGGGGGAGGAGGAGGAGGGGGAGGAGGAGGAGGAGGAGGGAGGAGGATGAGAGGAGAGGAGGAGGTGGAGGAGGACGAGGAGGACGAGGAGGAGGAGGAGGAGGAGGAGGAGGAGGAGGAAGACGAGGACGAGGAGGAGGAGGACGAGGAGGAAGAGGATGAAGAGGAGGAGGGGGGAGCAGGGGGCAGGGGGAGCAGGGGGAGCAGGCTATCTAGTGTGAGAGACGGGGAAGACGAGGTGGAGGAGAGGTTCGAGAAGGATGTTGAAGAGGAGGAGGAGGACGAGGAGGAGGAGGAGGAGGAGGAGGAGGAGTAGGAGTAACCATCATACGACTAATCACCATGTCACTAGTACCACTAAGCTGCATCATGAATGATACCTTACTTGTGACCTATATGACTATCAGTCCGGATCATATGAATAGCAACATGGCTTCGCATACGAACTTTATACGAGTGAAATAGTGGTAAACATTTTGTTGTTGGCCTTAACTGATGATGACACTGGTAATTCAATTCATATTTGAATCACAGCATTACCAGTAATAACCGCACCATACGATTATGACCCGTACAACGAATAATCTTATGATGAGTACGAATATTCAGAATAATAACTTCACCAATAATAGCAATATGCATATGGTCAACAATCATACTACTAGTACGAATCATGCGTTTTACTTGTAATACGGCGATGATGGTTCAAGGTTGTGATCGAATGATTCTTAGGCTTACGCCACACCGCCGACCCCTTGTTTATGCCAATCTGGGGGTAGTAGAAGCTGCGAAGGGGTGAAAAGGCGAGTGATATTTGTTTGGTGTCTGTTCGCCGCCACCGCCAGAGGGTCTCGGGCAGTTCCGCGGGGGGGTCCGAGCGGACGGCGACACCGCGAGTTTTGGAGCCACTTGGGGGCCGTTTCGGAGCCTCTGGGGTGCTTCTTGGGGGTTCCTTGGGGCGTCTGGGCGGCCTCGTGAGGGCCTCTGGGGGCCTCTTGGGGCACTCTTGGGGCCCCCTGGGGCTCCTGGGGGCAGAAAGCTAGAGTTTCAACATGTTTGGTCGCCCTCTTGGGCCCCTCTTGGTGCCGTCTTGGAGCCCTCTTGGGCCGTCTTGAGGACCTCTTGGACCGTGTTGGGGCCGTCTTGGGCCGTCTGGAGGCCGTCTTGGGAGCCTCTTGGGCCATCTTGGGGCTGTCTTTAGGGCCTCTTTGGCCGTCTTGGAGCGTCGGGAAGCCGAAAAGGCGGAAAAGCAAAACACATCGAAAAACACTATGGGAAATCAACAATTTTAGACTCTTGGGGCCCTCTTGGGAGGCTTGTTTGGGACCTCGGGGGCCGTCTTGGAGACCTCTTGGCCCGTCTTGGGGCCATCTTGGGCGTCTTGGAGCGGTCGTTTGGCGTCTCGGGGCCTTCGTGGGCCGTCTTGGAGGCCTCTTGGGGGCTTCTTGGCCCGTCTTGAGGCCCTCTTGGGCCCGGAAAAGCCCCGTGAACCGCTCGTCCCGGCCGTGCTGCGCTCGTGCCGGACCCCCCCCCCCTCCAAATCGACCGGACCGGGCTCCCGGGGGAGGGGTTTGGGGAGGGGGAAGCATCTCACACGCCGATGATCCCCAAGGGGTCGGCGGATACCTCTAAGGGCATGGCGATGTGTCGTCACTTGACTTGGCGGGGACAGAAACATCGATGTGCTGCAATGATTTTAAAGCGAACTGGGATGGGTCACGGTAATCATCGAATACCCTTTACGTATGCTCTTGAAAACGCCTCGAATATGTTGGTCCCAGTTCTTGTGGGTGAGTTTGACTCGTCGACCCCTTCACGCGTAGAGTGGGCATAGTCACGTCCGCTTGTCCGCAAGCTAACCCTCGTCCTCAGTCCTCCATGGCTCCTCGAGCCATCCTCGTCCTAATTTCCCGCACTTCTGTCCCTCCGTTACCCCCCCCTCCCCCTGGGGGGGCGGACAATGAGAAGTGGGAGAGAGGAACAGAGGATGATAGCAGAACGAGAGGGAATAGGCGGAGGTGGAGATGGACGAGCAGGGGGATAATGTACACTTAACTTAGAGAGGGCGGATGAGGACCTGCAGGAGCCAGAGGATGAGTCCGAGGAGGAGGAGGAGGAGGAGGAGGGGGAGGAGGAGGAGGAGGAGGAGGAGGAGGAGGAGGAGCAGCAGCAGCAGCAGCAGGACGAGATCGGGGAACAACGAAGAGCATGATGGGGGAGCAGGTGGGGTGAGGAGGAGGAGGAAGAATGGAGGAAGGGAGGAACGAAAGAAGTGAGGAAGGGAGGACGGGAGGCAGGGAGGCAAGGAGGAAGGGAGGATGGGAGGAGGAGGATGAGGAGGAGGAGGAGGAGCAGGGGGAGGACGAGGAGGAGGAGGAGGAGAAGGAGCAGGGATGGAGCAGGAAGGGGAGGAGGAGGAGGAGGAGGAGGAGGAGGAGGAGGAGGAAGACGAAGCTGAGGAAGACGAGGACGAAGAAGAAGACAAATAATGATACGAGTCGACAGAGGAGGATGAGGAGGAGGGAAGGGCGGAGCGGGGGCAGGGCGAGGCCAGCTCTCACCTGTTCTGCCCCAGGTGAACGTCAAGCGCGTGCTCGACGAGGTGGTCGGCGCCCACGCGCCGCTCGACGAGGCGCCTGTCGTGCCTTCGCGCCGCCACCGCTCGGCGGCCCTCGGCGGCCGCCCTCTCGTGTGGCCGCCTTCGTGCCGCCCTCGCGGGCTGTCTCGGCGGCCCTCGGCGGCCGACACCTTGTTCAGTTCTAAGTCTTTGAAAGGTCTTCGTTTTTGTTGTGGGGCCAGGATCCTTTCATTTTTGATTGTTCTATCCTGGGCCTCTTCCTGGCCACTAGGGGGCCGGGAACAATGGGAAACGAGCAGAATTAGAAATGAGCACGATTAGGAATGAACGATGTGTACAGCTGCCTTCGGGGGGCCTCGGAGGTTGTTCGGCGGCTCGCGGCGGTCCTCGGAGGTTTCTTGTCGCCCCATCGGGCATCCTTGGCGGCCTCGGGGTCGCGGTTGCCGAAGGTTCCCCCCAGCTGATCGTTCAGGTTTGGAGGCGTCGGGGCCCTTTGGGCCTCGTGGGGGGTGCTCTGTTGGCCGCGGGGGCCCCCTTGGAAATCCTGGGGGCACCTTGGGCCAGGGGCTCATCTGGTAATACCCGACCTGTCGGATTGAGCAGCGCCAGGAAGACGTTGTTGTTGTTGTCATCGTCATCGTTGTTGTCGTCGTCGTCGTCGTCTTCATTGTGGCGAGCGTCGCCGTCATCGTTGCCTGCGCACGTTGGCAGGATTATCCCCATATGTACCTGAAGAGCACGATCTAGTCATACGTAGAGGATGGCAGAAGGAGCGTGGGGCGAGGGGGGTGACAAGGAGGATGGCGACAGCGCAGGAAAGACACGGATGAGGAACCGGAGGAAGCAGGAGCAAGAGGGGTCAGAGGAGCGGTAAGGAGAGTGTGGAGAGGGACGATGACGAGCATTACAATGGAGGTAGAGCAGATGCAATTGACGAGCAGTACAACGGAGGTAGAGCCAGTGGAGCCCAAGAAACGAGGGGGATGAGAAAGAGGATTGAGGGAGGAGCAGGGGACGAAGAGGGACCAGGAAGCGGGGGAGGAGGGACGGGAGTGGAGGATAAAATGCAGTGATGAGGCACAGGGCGATGGGAATTATATTCGAGTAATTAATAATACGGACATTGGTAGTAATGCGGATAATCGTAAGGGATAAGGGACGCGATTGATACAGAGGAATACGCTGGTGATGTACGGCATGCTACAAGAGACAGAGAGCGATAGCGGATCGGTCGGATACGGTCTTTTCCCGTGTCCGTGCCTTCTCAATCATGACCCCATGCTATGATTATCTACCTTCAGTTGCCTTGCTCCCCCCCATCCCCCCTGCGTCGCACATCTTACAGGTACGGGAGCAGGTTGAATTGGATTTCTCTCCAGGTGCGAACGCACAGCATCACCCGATCCCGGGCACACTGTTTCGGTCACAGCCAAGGGGACGCTAGTGGAAACTACCCCCACGCAAGCGGATCTCCGAAGTCGGTCCGAGCTGCAGGCACCGCTGATCTGCAGCAGTAAATCGCTCAAGTGCGACGTCTGTTGTCCATCGTCTAATGGTCTTATGGTTTCTTGCATCGCTTCGCCCATCCGTCTCTCTCTCTCTCTCTCTCTTTCCACACCTCCTCTCTCCTCCTGCCTCCTCCCCATCCGTCTCTTCCGCGCCCATCATAGTTTCCCGCTTCTGGTCGTTAACATGCTCCGTTCCGCCTGTCGTTCGCCCTTCCATGTCCCTGGGGGCTGTGCAGCGTTGCACTTCGTTCAGCCAAGCGATGGTATGGTTTGGTCGGTGTGCCCAGGAACTTCGACGGTATGGCGATGGTGATGGAGATGATGATGGTGATGATGATTATGGTGGTGATGATGATGATGATGATGATGATGATGATGATGATGATGATGATGATGATGGTGATGATGATGATGATGATGATGATGATGATGATGATGATGATGATGATGATGATGACGAGGAGGAGGAAGAGGAGGAGGAGGAGGAGGAGGCGGGAGAGGAGGAGGTGGACGACGATAGGCTCCCCCACTCGCAGGGCGCAGCGTCCCACCCCATCTTCGTCCTCTTCCTCTTCCTCCTTTCCCCCCCCCCCACTTGTTGCTGCTGCTACTGCTACTCCTCCTTCTCCTCCTGCCCCTCATCGTGCCCCTCCTTTGCGAGTAGGCTCCTTTTCTCCTCTCATCATCCTACCTCCTCTTGATTCCTGCGACGAGTTCGACCCCGTCGTACGGGAGACGGGAGCAGGAGTGCCGCCCTCCTACGTTCATCGCGCCGCCCACCCGCCACCCCCGCAGCTCCACAAGTGGAAGATTCGTGCGGAACAGGCGGAAGAGAAGTACCACCAGGCAGCCCGCCGCTGTCCTCTCGGGGGGATCGAAATCGACACGGAGAGGACCCATGGAACCCCCCGAACGGTGCGGTGACCTCACTGTGTGGTGAATTGGCGAGGGTTCGGGGGGGGGCCGCTCGGTTTTGGGACTTGGGTCGTTCTCTGAGGTTGTCTCGGGCGGTCGGGGCCGCCGAGGTTCCGAAACCGAGGTTCCAAACCGTGCCGTGAGGTTTATCCGTGGCCCTCCGAAATCACCGCACGGTCTGTCACCGCACCGCGTCCGGACCCCGAAGACCGACAGCAGTTGCTGCCCATTCCGAATAGGGCTCGTTGCCGGCGTCACCGCGGACGTCGTGCATTCGAGGCAAAAGGTCGCTTGCCCACTGGCGGTCGTTGCCGGCTTTGGGCGTCGTTTGCCGTACCCGTTCCGAGACCTCCTGCGAGCCGTTTTGAGGCGGTCCCGCGTTCCAGAAGCGGCTTCCCGGGGCAGAAGAGTCAGCAGAGCGTGGGGCCCGATGTTGTCGGTCCCCACGGTTGGTGTCCGGTAGGCAGTCATGGGAGCCTCGTGCGTCTTCGTTTCAGGCCTTCTTCAGAGTACACTCGCGTGCGCCAGCGTCTGGTAATCGATAAGGGCGCGCCGATATCGCGCCGATAAGTGTCGACTCAGCATCGACCAGCGTCGCGCGCGTGCTTGAATGATGTACACAGCAACTTCATGACGCTGTACATAGGGGTAATGTGCTTCCTTCATGGCTTGTCTTGCCTCCCCTTTTGTGATCCGTTCTTTCCTGCCTCTGCCTCTTCTCCCTCCTATCCCTCAGCCCTCTCCCGCCCTACCTCTGGCTCCTCACCTCCTCTGCCTCCTCCTGCCGTCGCCTTCCCGGGGGCGTGGTGTCGGCGCCCGCGGGCGGCCTCCGTCCGTGGCGCGTCCCTCCAGGGTCGCCTGCCTGATGGCGACGGCCCGCCAAAGCAGGCCGGCCTCCTCCTCCTCCTCATCCTCCTCCCTCCTCCTCCCTCCTCCTCCCTCCTCCTCCTCCTCCTCCCCCTCCTCCTCCTCCTCCTCCTCCTCCTCCTCCTCCCCCTCCCCCTCCTCCTCCTCCTCCTCCTCCTCCCCCTCCTCCTCCTCCTCCCCCTCCTCCTGCGTTGCGGGCCGGTCGGCCAGAGGAGGCGCCGCTGCAGCGCACCCTGCGGTCGACCCAGGGGCCCGGTCTCCGCCTCGCGGCGCCAGACCACGTGCTCAAAGTCGGGCGCCTCGCTCGTCCCGCAGCGGGGGCAGTGCTCCTCCACGTCGTCGTCATTTCCTACTCCTCCTTCTCCTCCTCTCCTCCTCCTCCTCTCTCCTCCTCCTCCTCCTTCCTCCCTCCTCTCCTCATCCTCCTCCTCCTCCTCCGCCTCCTCCGCCTCCTCCTCCTCCCCCTCCTCCTCCTCCTCCTCCTCCTCCTCCTCCCTCCTCTCTGCCCTTCGCCGCCCGCAGGCCTGCAGGTGCGCCTGCGAGACGAATACTCCGGACATCACGCTGCCCGCGTGCGTGCTGCCCTTTGCCAGAAGCCTCGCGGCCTTGCAACGCCGCTCGTCGTACTGCTCGAACCGGCACAGGTACGAATCGATGCGGTTCTGCTCCCGCCACCTCCCAAAAAAGGTTCGCGCGCCAGGACTCCCGGAGCACGTGCTCGAGGCGTCCTTTGCATTCAGACCAATGCTCGCTGCCTTTGCGCAAGCTGAGAATTACGCCTGTGACCGGGTGCGTCCACTCCCACCCGGCACGTTCCTGCCATACGCAGCCCTGAAGGAGGGCATGCATCCGGCCAGATCATCCTTCCATCCTCCTCCAGGTTCCCAGCGTGGCCCGTCGCTGGTCCTGACGCAGGATGCGCCACGCGGCCATAAAGGAAATGGTCAGCAGGCGGCACCTGACACTGAGCCGGTGGCCACGAAAAATGGCCCGGAGGTGGGGTTTACCTGCTCTGCAGAGGTTCTCTCCTAGCCATCATGATCTTAGCCTGTAGCTGCGTCTCATCCTGTCGATCCAGCCGTGCTTTGCGACTGCCAGCGCCTTGCTTGCCATCGTCGCTTCCTTCATCCTCCTGCAGACGGGCAGGCGCGCACTCCGCACTCCTTTCGAGCATCACCTTGGCCCTCCTCAGCCACATCTCCTCCTTCCTGGTGTACCTCCGTCCGCTACCTCCTTGGCGCCCTGTCCTTTTGCAGAAGCCCGCCCCAAGGATCTCTGGAGTGTCCGTCACAGTGGTGGGTGGCTTGCCTGCTCTGAGCAGTTGCTGCCTGCCCGCGGCCCTCCTGTGCGCATGCTGGGACTTCGCCTCGTTCTCTTTGAGGCCCAGGACGAGCGACCATCTTCTCCACTCCTCACCCACTGCCAGCAGCTCTTGCGTCGTGCCAGACGTCCACGACCTGTCGTCTACGAAACAGGAAAGCTCCGATCCAGGGAAACGCGCCATGATGGCGGTGATCGGCAGGTGTGGGACCGCCACCATAGCTATCATGGACCACGGGTCGCCTTGGGGCAACGACGTACCCACCTCTTCCGGCCGCCGCAGCGTAAGTACCGGAGCTGTCTAGTGCACACTTGTTCCAGGATAGCGGCAACCCCACGCGGGCATCCGAGGTTGCTCAGCACTGCAACTGCAAGCTTGGGATCTGTCTGATCGAAAGCCAATGTGTAACTAGTCGTAGGATGCAATGAAGCTTCCCTTGTGGTACGAGTCAATAAGGCTCATGAGCGGCATGTACACCTCACCAGCCTTGCGTCCACCCACGGCCTCCTCCCTCCACCATTTCTTCTGCCACGCTTGGGCGTCGGGTGACCACAGCAGCACGCTGCCGAGCAGGCGCCACCAGCAGCTTAAGATGGTGATGGGCCGCAACGCCTGCACGGCTATGCTTCCGTCCCTCTTTCTCCTTCACTTGCCCTCCTTCGGGATCATTACTTGCAGTGCCTTGCGCCACTCGGTGGGTACGCAGCCCTGGTGCAGCATGAAATTGAAGACGTCAGCCAGGTGTATGACCATCGCAGGGCAGTAGAGGTAGAGAGAAGCGAGCTCATCTCCATGCCAGCCATCACCTCCCGCAGCATATCCCCGTAGCCTCCCCATGGCGCACCGCAGCTCCATGTGGCACACAGGTCGCCAGGACTCCTCCGACGCAGGCGGCGACGTGTCCTCGACCAGTCGCTGCCATTCCTCTTGTGGCGCGAGCTGGCGCCTCCACACTTTCCTCCAGTGCCGCGCCAGCAGTGCAAGCGCTTCTTGCCCCGTGGCGCTTTCCTCAGCCTGGTTCTCCTCGTTCCTCGTCTTCACTTCCTACCCCTCACCGTCGGGTTCCTCCTTCTCATCCACGTGCACGCCCGTAGGTGGAATCGTGCGACTTCCTTCACCCAGGCGCAGCATGCCCTGAGCGATCCTCGCAAGCGGTTGCGCCACCTATCGATGCGGCCCTGCCTCCGCTGCTTCCGGAGATCCTCCAGATTCGCCTCGACCTCCTTCAACGTCACCAGCCCGTACTTCGTCAGCCCTTCGCGGATCTTCTCCTCGAGCGTTCGTCCTTTTGCGCCGCCCTCGCGGCCCTTCCTCCGCAACCACTGCATGTGTCTCATCCGCCCTCGCAGGTCGTCCAGCTGCTGGATGTGCGCCGACGTGCGTGGGTCGTCACATTCGCCAAACCGGTGCTCCTGGCACCGAAACGTCTGCGTGTTTTTCCTGACGCTCCATCCTCGGATGCTCTCCGCACCCTTTCCAGCTTCGTTCATTGCTTCCCTCGTCGTGCTCCTTAGAAAGCGCTCGAGGTAGAGAGACGTCTGCCTCCACACGTCGTCCACCCGCTCCTGCATCGCGTCCATGTCCCGGGGCTCCTCCATAGCTGGGAGGCTCGGCGGAACCATGGTCGCACAGACCTCGTGCTGCAGCTGTTTCCACCGCTCCGGTTCCCCATGTCCTGGGCAGCCCAAGTTGGCCGACCTACCAAGAATGCAATCTGACTCCCGCTTGCCCATGTCACCTCTGACCACCTGCAGCTGGGCAGCAACAGCCCGGTGGTCTTTGAACGAGATGTCTTCCAAGTCCGGCTGGTCACAGCACGTCGGGTGCGAGGCTATGTAATGGTCGATGCACCTGCGCCCCTGCCAGAGCGTCGGAATGCGGCCTCCTCTATCGTCCACTGCCGCGTGGAGACACGCTCCTTCTTCCCGGATCGTCTCCAAGATGGCCCCTGCAGAACCCCATGCGTGCCCGAGAGCACAGAACAGTGTCCCAACATGGCTACAAGAGGCCGCCTAGAGGCGTCCAGAGTGAAACATCTCTCTCTCTCTCTCTCTCTATATATATATGTATGCTCGCCCCCCCTGGTATCATACCTTTTGCCTTGTATTCGGTACTTCCCACTTTTGTCTTTGTCAGCCCTCCCCCTCGTATGCTGCCCACTCTCCGTCCGCATCGGTGTCGTTCCTTCCCGCTGCATTTCTTTATATAATTCGTTCCTTCTCCTTTTGATTATGTTCGTTAACCTCCCGATCTTCCCTCCTCCCTCACCCCTCGTCCCTCCTCCTTCCTCCCACCCTTCTCCGTTGAAGGTCCTCGTCATCTTCTTCCCCTTCGCAAGCTTCCTTACCGCCCTCGTTCCTTCTACTCTTGATTGTCCCTCCTACTCTTCATTATCATTGTCGTTCCTTCTACTCGTTTATCGCTGATCCGATTTCTCTGCATATGTTCGTCGTTCCAAGGGCCTTCAAACATCGATTCCTTATGTGTAGGAGCCTCCACATATTGATTTAATGTGTGGAGGGACCTCCACATAATGATTCCATATGTGCAAGGGGCCTCCATTATGATATCTTGTGTGGAGGGGCCTCCCACTCGTTGAATCCTTATGTGGAAAGGGCCTGATTCCTCTTATGTGGAAAGGGCCTGATTCCTCTTGTGGAATGGTATGATACAAGGGGGGGCGACCGTATATATATATATATATACACACACGAAGGCCCGTTGCGATTTGACTCGTCGGCGTCGCCGTGTTCCTTTCCCATTATTCCCATCTTCCTCTTCATCATCCTCTTCTCCCACCCTGGGTTTACCGGCAGTTGAGTGGGAATAGGTTCCAACACCTGTCCTTTCCTTCTGTTCGCCCCCTCCTCATCCTGTGTCTCCTTCCTCCTTCCTCAGCCGACTTCTCATGGGCTGCTTGAGCTGACCCCACACGTCGACTTCGCGGCTTCCCCCCCTCTTTGTTCCGTTGCAGGTTTTTGCATGTCGTTGTTCAGACATATATTTGGGGCATCAACTCCGGATGGGCTCGTGAGGACACGAGAACCGACAACGAAGTTCGCATCGGCATTCGCACATTCCTTCCATGATATGGCGAGCGTGGTTGTCCCCCCCTCCTCATCCTGCAGCTCCAGCTGCTGCTCCTTTTCTCTCCTCACATGCATCGCAGTCCCTCCGCATCCCCACGTCGAGCAACCTGGCAAACGGCTTTCATCCGAGACGCTAGGTCCGCAGCGATTCGGCCGCTGGATTTCCCCACGCGCGTTGGTGCGTCAAGGGGCGGCGTCTCGCCATCCCTCCACGCCGTCCGCCGAGTCTGTCCGGATGCCGCCGGTGTTCGGTCGGGTCCTCCTCCTGCTCCCCCGGGCAGGTCATGCGCTACAACCGGAATCTCACAAACGAGATGGGGCAAATCACGCAGGCGGCGCCCAGCGCAGCGGATGCGATGGTGCTTTGATTGGCCGCCTCCACCAAAATCTGGTTCTTGTTGTTGTTGCTTTGTTTCTTTGCTTGTTGCTTTATTTCTTTATCTGTCTCTCTTTCTCTCTCTCTCTCTCTCTCTCTCACTCTTTCTCCCTCCCAGTCCCGCTTTGTTTCTCACAGTTTTTGTGGTCTCTCTCTCTCTCTCTCTTTCTTCCTCTTTCTCTTTCTCTGTCTCTCTCTCTCTGATCTCTTTTGTTTGTTTTCCTTCTCTCTCTCTGTTCTCTCTCTCTCTCTCTCTCTTTCTTTCTCTTTCTCACCCACTTATATATCATTTGCCGGAGTACCGGCGGCCCGGGCCCCGGGCCAATACACCTTCCCCGATTTCCCCTCTCCCCTTTGGGACCCGCCCCCCCGGGGCCGTTCGGCCCCCCCGCCCCCCCCAGCGTACAGCAGCGTCCAAGACGGCCCAAAAGGCCCCCAAGATCGCCCCAAGACGGTCCAAAAGGGGCCCCCCAGAGAATCCCAAGACGGCCCAAGAGAGCCCTCAGACGGTCCAAGTGGCGCCCCTGACGGCCTGAGATTGGCCAAAGGGGGGGATCTCCACCTCACATTCCGAGCCCCCCGCCCCAAGTCGACCCCCCCGACCGCCAGCAGGCCCCCAAGAGGCCCCAAAAAGCCCGAAAAGAGGCCCCAAGAGGCCCCAAACAGCTCCCAAGAGGCCCCCAAGCGGCTTCACAAGTGGCTCTCAGAGGCGCCCGAGAAACATGCCAAGAGACCCCAAACAGGTATCCCAGAAGCCTCTGACCCACAACCGAGGCACAGTGGCAGTATGAGCCGAAGGCTCGTAGATAAGCAAACAAATAGCCTGGTGAAGGGCGCAACCTTCTACAGTCACGCGTAGCGCAGGGCGCGCCGCGGGGCAATGCGGATAGGGGGCGTGCGCAGGCGCGCTGAACTCCTTGTTGTGGTCACGGTCCGCGTGAAGGGTGTGCCGAATAATCTGGATGCACCCGCGGGAACACGCCCACTGACGCAGCAGGTGCAGCTCCCTGTGGGGCACCGTCCGTGTGAGACATGTGCCGAAATGCGCGGGAGGACGCCATGCGAAATTGCCCAGGGGTTCCACAGGTGGAGCTTCTTCCGGGGCACGGTTCGCGTGAAGGGCGAACCAGATTCCATAAGAGGGCAAACAAATTTAGTAGGAGATATTTTGGTGGCTTCGCAACGTCGCATTTGAACATGTGCTGATGGACGAAGTGCAGGAGCAGCAATTGCCGCCGAATTATTGGTGGCAGTTCAAGGCCGCGTGGCTGCCACGGCAGCTACCAGGCTTCAGGTAAGTGGCCGGAGCCACGCGATGTAAGCGTGTGATCCGTTGTCCATAAAAAATGTCCCAAGATGGTATCAAGACAAAATGTCCCAAGATGGTATCAAGACGATCCCAGTACGGTCCAAAGAGATTTCCACGATGGCCCAGGAGGCCCCCAAGACGGCTCCCAAACGGCCCCAAATACCCCGAAGACCGCATTGCCATCATGCTTCCGAGAAGTTCCAAGACGGCCCAAAGACGGCTGGCAGTGGCCAGTAAGTTCTTTAGTATTGCCCTTGAGAAGCCGAAGTCATCGAACTTTATGCCCTGCAGGCGCGACCTGGAGGGGGTTTCTGGCCTTCGTTGCATAGTGGTTTGGCCCCAGATGCGTGGCGCGGAGGGCGGGGCGGCCTTCCATGCACCCTGCCTCGGCCCTGGTGGCGTGTACTACGGAGCCAGACTCGGGCACCCCTCTTCTCTGCTCAGGTCCTCTTCCTGTCCCAGGGCGGATCGAGAGAAACGCAAGATGCGCAGAAGAAGCCCTCACGACTCCCTTACACGTCGCCAGGACCCCCAAATTGAATTGCCGCAGGTCCCAGTACCACCCCCAAAGAAGCTCCAGAATCGCTTATTCATGCCTCAATGGCAACTCGCGGTGCGAATTCCTTGGGCGCGGCTAGAACTCAAGCGCGCGCGAAGCGCGCGCGAGGTTCTAGTTGTACATGCATATGTATGTATACATCACTGTGAATATACAGAATCATGATATATTCACGCTTTGAAGCAGTGGTAGCACTTAGGTTTATTATTTTTTAATAGGGAGCTGGGCCTGGCTGTCAGTCTTGCTGGCTTGTTTTCGCCGTCGCCGCCCGTCGCCGTCGTCCGTCGCCGTTGTTTCTGCTCCTGGCTGTCGGTCGCCGCGCGTGTTGTCGCTGTCGCCGCCCGTCGCCGTCGTCCGTCGCCGTTGCTTAAACCGCCTAGTTGTCACAGCATTGCTCTCACCATGTAGATTGCACCACATACCTTTCTCCACATATGTCACATAGCTCACACATTACATAGAGTCTCTCTTCTAACAGAGTATTCCCCTTTTTTGTTTTGCTATTTACAGATGGTTCTGCCGCTTCGTCCTGAATATGAGTACCCCCGCCACCCCGTGCAATAATACTACGCGCATGCTCCCGCTTATAGAAAATCATCTGTCTTCAAGAGTCCTTCGCAAAAGAACATATGACAAAGTGTGCGCGCGCGTCGTCGCGCGCGTGCCGAAATCTTTCAAAAACCTTCATTTGCGTGGGGATTTCAAAATCGAGTGCCACGGACGCATACATCAAAACATTGTTTTGGAACGAGAATGTGCAGATCGAGCAGTTTCCGCCCGCGCCTTTGCGATTTGTTTGAGAAAGCCATGGCTTTATCAACATTTTCATAACATGCTTCCAAGTTGGCTTTTCGCGCGCGCGCGCCGGAAACGTCCGGGTGCCCCGGCGCGCGCGTTGTCGAAATAATCCCGTGCAAACAACATGGCACGATGCACGCGCGCGCGCGCGTCGTCGCGTGCGCATGCCAGATTTCTTGGATTCACATTTGTCTTCGCAGCGGTTTTTGAATTGAGAGCGCCGAAAGCAGATTAACCACAAGTATTTGCAACATCATTTCTCGAAAAGTCTTGCGCGCGCACCCATGCGGACTCTTAAGGAGCAAGAAATGGTTTTCCCGCCGTTTCAACAAGTGCTGCCAAACGGACCTGTCGCGCCGCATGTCGAAGTCATTCAAGCACGCGTGCGCGTGCTGGGGAAGGGGATGTGTAGGGGGGGGCGGTCCGCGTCAAATAATACCACGCGGGCCAGTCGCGCGCGTGGGCCGCGCGCGCATGTCGAAATCCTTTGAAAACCTTCATCGCCGACGCGAGGGCGTCGTCATCGTCATCGGCGGGCGTGATCAGCATCGGCGCCGCGATTTGTTTTGCCGTAGCGGTTGCCGCCATCGCTACTATCGTTATCGCGTCTACCGACGTCGGCGTTGCCATGATACGGCGCCCGCCCAAGTCGCCGATTCGAATTTGAGCGCCCGCCACCGCGGCACCGTGTCCGCGCCGGTCGCGCCAAACTAGCCGGCCGCTGTGCGCGCGAGCATGCGCTGGCTAGCGCGGCCGCAGAGATGCACCAGGCAACGCCAAGCACGCATCGCAATCGCCGCCGCGTGGGTTTTGCAAACCAAGTTGCGGGGGGGTTCTGCAATGGCGTGGGATTTGTCAAGTCGCCTCCGGGAATCTTTAACACCACGTGGATTCATCGCATGCGTCCCAATTGTGGAAACGAAATTGCGATTTACCGCCTTAGGATTATCAGCCTCCTCCAGTTTTCAAGAACCGCCTGTTTTGTCGCAGAGAGGGCGCCCTAGCGGTTTTACTCTTCCCCTGCTCGCGTTCGTCCGTCTTGGGGTCGTCTCTCAGGCGGCCGCGCTAGGAGGCCACGCTGGGGGCCGCGCCAGGAGGGCCACGCCAGCGGGCCACGCTGGGAGGCTGCGCTGGGAGGCCACGCTGGGAGGCCACTCTGCGAGGCCACAATGATTGGCCACGTCGGCGCGCTTGGAGGGCCAACCGAAGAGGGGCGGTGCGTCCGCGGCGCTTTCGGTCCCAATCCCGCTGGCAGCGAGCGCGCCGCGGCTGCTGAAAGCGCCGCCGAGCACTGCGCCCTCTCTCTTATCCGCAGCTGGGATTAGGTTGTCAAATAGTCCGCGCGCGCGCGTCGTCGCGCACGCGCGCTGGCGCGTTTCGAGCGCCGAAGTCGTCGCGAGAGTTCAAAATCCAGCTTCCATTCGCGACGTTTGTTTTGCGCCGTGTTTGTCAATCCCAAAGTGGCGCGTTCATTTTCAAATTCTCGCGGGGAGCATGGGCGATTCAACATGTTCATCAAACGCGGTCAAGCGGGCCCCTCGCGCGCGCATGCCGAAGTCATTCGGGTGCCCTTCCGCGTTTTCTGGGGCGGGGAGGGGGGGCGCGGCCCCCGTCGGAAGACGCCGCGCGGGCGACTCCCTCGCGTCGGCCGCGCGCGCGTCGAAAACATGCTCGGCAGTGGTTCTGCAGCAAAGGAAGCAATCTGCGCCCGCGCGCCCTTGCTAATTCGCGTGGAACCGCATGTTGATCCACACTTGCGTCAAACGAAACCATTCGGGCCCCCCGCGCGCGCGTCGAAATCATTCGAGCGCCCCCTCGCGCGTGCTCGGATGGGGGTGAACGACCGTTGTCAAATAGAACCCCGGGCCAGTCGGCCGCGCGCGCGCGTCCAAATCCAAACCGTTACAGCCTGCATTGTCGACGCGTCGGCGCCGTCATCGCCGCAGGTGGCGCGACCAGAAGCGGCGCCGCCATTGGCTTTGCCGTCACTTTGGCCGCCGCCGCCATTAAAACCTCCGCTACAATCATCGGCGCTTCTGTCGCCATCGACGTCTCCGTGGCACCGCGCCCGCCTGAGTGGCCGTGTCGCACTGAAGCGCCCGCGCGTCAGCGCGGCTCGCGCGGCGCGCCGGGAAGTTCCCGACGGTCAGCGCCACCGCGGCCGCGTCGGTCGCGTCACACTAACCCGCTTCTCTGCGCGCGAGGCAGCGATCGCCAGCGCGGCCGCGGCAATGCGCCAGCCGGCGCCAAGCAGTCATCGCAATCGCCGCCGCAACGGTTTGCGGGCGGGTCGACCGGGGGATTTCGCGAGCAGTGGACTTGTCAGCTCCAGGATCTCCCACGAATTGCGCCGTGGAGATCGCGCTGCGTAAATTGCTGGACGCAGATTTCCGCCCTTCGAAAGAAAATGAATCCGGCCATCTTCCCGTGGCCAGACTTGTCGTCGCCCTTCGGGGCATTGACCTAACGCGAGATAATGCCCCGTCGTTCGCTCTTTCGCCTCGCGAGGCATTTGGGGATTCAGGTCGCGCCTGATGCGCTGGTGGTTGCCTGGAACGACTGCCTGGCAGCAGTGCCCGCGGCGCTGCATTGAATCGAGATTCGGAGGTTCCGTCTCGAGCTCGCGCTTGCTGTCCGCGCACGCGCGGTGTTCGCCGTTTCACCGAGATGCTACGCAGATCTACCCCGTGTGGAACGAGGTTCTCACAGTCTAAGGCATGAATAGCAGTGTATATATACATATATATATATACATATATACATATATATCTATATATGTATATATATATGTTTATGTGTGTATATATATATACATATATGCACATGCGCCAGAAATTTCTGGGGGGCCCGATTTTTGTTGAACAGCGCAGTGTGAACTTGGCTTCATGATTTGGGATTGGGGTCGGAATTCCTCGACGTGGCCAATTTGGGAGTTGCGTTTCAGGCTTCGTTCCCGTTATGCCCGCGCGTCTGCCTCCTGTTGCTGCTGTATTTTCCCTGCTGTTTCTGCTGCCATGCGCCCTCTCCCGCGCTCCTGCCGTTGCTCCGCCGCGCCGGTGTCTGTGCCTGCGCGTTGCGACGCTCGGTTGGGCCCTTCCCCTTGTTCGGTCACTTGCAGCCCTATGTTGCGACGTGGTACTTGTCTGGCATCTCTCCCCCGCTTCTTTTGTGTTGGCATTGCCTGTGCTCTCGCTCTCTCTGCGCCGCGGCCTTCGCCGCCGCCTCGCGCGCATCTTCGGCGGTTTCTCTGGAAGCCCCCCCTGTTGCCGCCGTCGTTCGATCGGCGCGGGCAAGCGGCATGCTGCGGTCGCTATTCGGCCTTCTGGCGCCCGCAGGTGACTTGGCACAGAGGCCGGCGACAAGGCGCTTGCTTGGGCCTTGCTGAGCCACCGCATTTTTGTTTTCTTTCCTGCGCACCTCAGGTCCAGGACGAAACACTAGGCCCGCCGCCCCGCCCCGATCCCTCCTCGGCCAAAGGGGCTGCGAGGCTCTGCTCGGGCGCGGTCGCTGGCTCAGATGCTGATCGATCTGGTCATTGTTTTTGTTTTGCCTGAGTTGCAACTCGCGCGCTGGAATATGGACTCTGCTGACGATTGAGGACTCTTGGTGTCGAATTTGCGCGCTGGTTTATCAATTTACCTGGCCATTGTTAACCCTGCATTGCCGCCGTTGCGGGGGGGGGTCGCCGCCATCATCGTCGCGACGCGCTACCGCGTGTCTTCCGACGTCGCCTCGATGGCGCGCCCGCCAGAGTCGCCGCCCCGCGTTGAAGCGCTCGCGCGCCAGCGCGGTCTGCGAGACGCGCTGGAAGTCCCCAGCGGTTAGCGCCGCCGCGGACGCGTCGGTCGCGCTAGTTGGCCGTTTTGCGCGCGAGCCTGCACGCCGTAGCGCGACCGCAGCGATGCGCCAGTCAGCGCCGCGCAGTCATCGCGATCGCCGCCGCATGGGTTCAGCAAGCCAGGTTGCGGGTGGGCGAGTGGGATGATTGCGACCGCAGTGGAGTGCCACCTCCAGTTTTACATGGTGAACTGCGCCACGCCGATTGCATCGCATAGCTTCCACCACACATGTTGCGCCATGCTACATGTATGTATGTATCTATCTATCTATCTATCTATCTATCGATCTATCTATCTATCTATGTATGTATGGATGTATGGATGTATGGATGTATGGATGTATATATGCATGTATGTATGTATGTATGTATGTATGTATGTATGTATGTATGTATGTATGTATGTATGTATGTGTATACATACATATGAATTTATATGTATATGTATTCGTATATACATATATACATGCATATATATATATATATATATATATATATATATATATATGTACATCCCGCCTGAGGTACTCCGAGCCCGATTCGTGCTAATTTGAGGGAGATTCTGTGGAACTCACGTCATCCTTACCCCCGGCGCGCGGGAGAGTCGCTTCCAAACGCACCTCCAGGTACCATTTCCGGCGCTGCGCCGGGCGCACCGGGCGCGCCGGTCGTGTCCCAAACCCGGCGCCCTCGCTCGAGACATCCTCGCAAAATCGCCACACGGGCCCCCAGCGCACCCCCAGGTGATCCCCGCCCGCCCGATCCTCACCCTCCCTGATCTTCATTCTCCTCATCTTCACTCTCCCGATCCTCGCCCGCCGCACCAACGCCACCCGCTCATTATCACCATCGTCATCGAGCACAGGCGCACGCGCCTTTTCTCTATAAACAGAAACTCCCGATCAACCGCAGAGCGGCCGGCCAGTACACAAAAAAGGAGACACCACCAAGTGGGATAACCTACTGGCCCATTTAGCTGCTGAACAGCACTTAAAATCTGTATGCCGCAATAATATTATAGCGTTTGGCCGTGACTCTCGATCCGCACCTCCATCCCACGCAGTTCGGCTTCAGGCAGCTCTGTCCTTCTCTCTCTCTCCCTCTCTCCCTCCCTCAGTTCAGGAAAGGGCGACCTCCTGTGTCTCCCGCAGGTCCCAGGCAGGTCCCAGAGCGCCGAAGACAAGGCAAACCATCTGGTGCGATGTGTTCGGTCCTCTTCTTCCCCCCCCCCTCCACGTGGCGAGGCTTTTGAGTGTCCTCGGAAGCCTCGGGAGGCTCAAAAACACGGATCCTCGAACCTTGATCCTCTTCGTCCTCTCCTTTCCTCCTCCTCCTGCCAGAGGAGGAGGAGGAGGAGGAGGAGGAGGAGGAGGAGGAGGAAGAGGAGGAGGAGGAGGAGGAGGAGGAGGAAGGGAGGGGGTGCAGGAGGAGGAGGAGGAGGAGGAGGAGGAGGAACAGGAGGAGGAGGAGGAGGAGGAGGGGGATGAAAAGGAGGAGAGGGAGGAGAAGGAGGAGGAGGAGTGGAGGAGGAGGGGGAGGAGGAGGAAAAGGAGAAGGATCCTCCTGCTCCTCCTCCACCTCCACCTCTTCCTCCTCCTCTTTCTCCTCCTCCTCCTGCCACCCCTTTCCGCCCGCGCGACAGGTTTGGATGATTCGGCGGCGAGCGAGGGGAGAAATGAGAAGGAGAAGGCCTTCCTAGAAGGCGGCGGGATTTCTCAGAAGCCCTCGCGGCTTCTGAGAAGTTTCTGTTATCTGTCTTCGGGGGAGGCATTGGGAACTTCTCAGAAGGACAGTGAACTTCCGAGCCTTCTGAGAAGGCCCACCCTTTCTCATTCCCCCCCCATCGCTCACCGCCGAATGATGGTCGGACATATACACACATATACATATATATATATATACATATGAGGTCGACGACGGATTTGCGCACGCCTAAAAGGCGTGCGCGTGCATGGAATCTTCGTTCATCCACCTCCTTCCTCTCTCATCCCCTGCCTTCTCTCCCGTCTTCTTCCTTCTCATCCCTCCTTCTCTATGGATTCAGCCATTTGACGGGTTAAAGCCGGCTCGGATCACGCTCGGACCGCTGAGAGTTGCCGCCCTGCCTGCTAAGCGGGCCATGGGCGCTTGCCTGCTCCGATCTGCTCGTCTGCTGTGGGCGCTGCGCGGCTGCGGCTCCCGTTCGGGCATCACGCCCGCCGCTCGTTCGCGTGAGGGCTGCCGTCAGGCTCCCGTGTCGTCGTCATCCTGGTGACGGTTGCGGTCGTCGTCCTCGTGACGGCCAAGCTGACGCGGCCTGTCACGGGCTGTGGACAGGCTGCCCGCAACGTGCTGCTCGCCTCCATGCAACCTGATGGGGGTTCGCTTGGCGGTGCGATTGGAGGCCATTGGTGTTCACGGCTCGGTCGGTTCGACTGTGTCGCAGTCCGTTGGGTTCGGTCGGTGATCGAGTCGTTGCCCCGTCGCTGCGCCTGTCTGGGCTGCCTGCTTGCCTGTCGGTTGCGGTCGGCTTCGGTTTCGCTGTCGGTTCGGTCGGTGTTCGGTTTTGCGGCCGCCGAGTACGGCGTCGGCCATGGAGTTCGGCGTCGCGGGGCGCTCCTGCCGCCTGTGCCGCCTGCGGATGCCCTGGCTCATGGTGCTGCTGGCGGACCGCGGCGCGGACCCGCCGCTCGTGTCGACTGCGCCGTGGAGCCGTGAGGCGGCCCAGCCGGGCTCGGGGTGCAGCACGGCTTCGCCCAGCCTCGGTTTGAGTCGGGCATGTTATTCTACAGGTGAGATGCCCGAGAGTGGTCAACACATAGTCAGGGGACGATTTCTAAAGTTCAGAATTTAATTTTGTTCATCAGAGTTTGACCTCATCAATTGTTCTTCCAGGATCCGCATGTTGGAGGACAGGCCAGACCTAGGTCGCAGTGCGGCAGCACAGCGATCTGCTCAGGTGGGCCCCCCCTGCGGCGCCGAGGCTGGTAGCTGTGGTCGTTACTGCCCCCCCGCCGCCCGTTCTTTTCTCTTCGTCGTCGTCGTCGTCGTCGGCGGCGTGCTCCCTCATGTTTGGTGCGCGTTGCGCTTTGCGTAGTGTCGACAGCACGTGCTCCACCCCCTCCGCACCAGCGAGGCTGAGGCCGCCCCGCCCCCCCACCGGGGGACTCTCCGCCGCCGCCCCCGCCCGGCGCGTCCCCCCGCGAGGCCGCGAGCGACAGGGGCGGCGACTTCTCGCAGCTGAGGCAGCAGGCGCCCCCGCGGCCCGCTGCCTGGAGCCCCAGATCCGTCCCCGGAGCGCCCAGAGCTCCTCCTCCTCTCCCTCCCCCTCCCCCTCCCCCTCCTCCTCCTCCTCCTCCTCCTCCTCCTCCTCCTCCTCCTCCTCCTCCTCCTCCTCCTCCTCCTCCTCCTCCTCCTCCTCTCTCCTCCTCCTCCTCCTCCTCCTCCTCCTCCTCCTCCTCCTCCTCCCCCCCTCCTCCTCCTCCTCCTCCTCCTCCTCCTCCTCTCAGACCGCCGTCAAGGAGGCTCAACCCAGCCACGAGTCGCCGCCTCCAGGAGTCCTCGACGGCTCCCGCGGCGCCTCCAGCGGTCCCAGAGGCTTCGAGAACGCCCCTAAGACCGCTCCCGCACGACGCCCCAGATGGCGTCGAGAGGCAAACGTCGTCCCGCCTCTTTTTGGAGGAGCATGCATTTTTAGTATTATATCCGCTTCTGGGGTGTTCAGCGACCACGACGGCCCCAGAGGCCCCCGCCACCGCCCCAAGGCGGCCGAAACGGACCTCCCAAGGGCTCCAAGAGAGGACCAGATGGAGGATTCCAATGGACATTGCTTGGTCTCCGCCCCCTGAGGGCCCACGAGCCCGCCACAGGAGCCCCCCAAGAGGCCACAAGAGGCCCCCAAGAGGCCCACAAGGGGCCTCCAAGAGGCTCCCAAGAAGCTCCAAGAGGCCCCAGGAGGCCCCCGGGAAGCACTGGGGAGGCGCTGAAGAGGCTCCAAGATGCCCAAGGAGACCTTGAGTTTGAATTTGACTCGTCTTCGCGTTCTCGCAATCCCGAGCCTCTCGGGGCCGAATACATCCCCAGAAATTGTCCAGATAGCCCCAAGCCAGCCCAACAAGTACCCGAAGAGCGCCCCAAGACAGCAAACGAGGGTCTGAAAGAGCTCAGGACGGCCAGAGGAGCCCCAAGAGGGCCGCAGCCTCCCAGAGTCCGCCAGGACGATCCCAAGAGGCCCCCGAAGAGGCCTCTCCACCCTTGACCCACGACCCGAGGCACAGGCATTGGTTCTGTGTTGTACTCATGCGCGTGCGAACGTATGTACTCATGCACCATGCATGTATGAGTCGACATGTGCGGGGGGATCTACGAAACAAATGCGCTGAAGGGTGTGCCGGAATGGGCGGAGGGGACGAGCTCCCCAAACGCTCCAGGAAGCCCACGAGGCCCCGAGCACGTTCCCACGAGATTCCCACGAGAAGAGGCCCCCGCAAGGCTTCCCCCCAAACAAATTACCCTGGCGACGTACCCAACCGTTGCGCAATGCGGGGCATAAGTGTAACAGGATTGCTACAACGGGGGCGATGACGTAACATGGACACATGCGATTTTGCGAGCAGCAATCGGAAGGCTCGCAGGCCCCCGATCAAGATCTATGGACTACCTAATAACAACTCACCCCCGTTGGCTGTGCCATGCGACCGTTGCACCCAACGTATCCCACAGCAGCTCTTGAGAGCCCCCGCGGGATACGTGTAGGCGCAACGTTATGGCCATCGCCCGGCAGATGGTCTGTTTCACGAATCCCCCCCCGTTGGTTGTGCCATGCGCCCGTTGCGCCTAACGTATCCCACAGCAGCTCTCCAGAGCCCCCCCAGGGACGGCGAGGTCTCGCTCAGATCCCCGCGGTGCCTCATTCCGCAGGACCCACCAGCAGTCCTCGAAAGTGGCGACAGTGTCGCAGATCGCAGCCCCCCAGGGACGGCGAGGTCTCGCTCATATCCCCGCGGCGCCTCACTCCGCAGGACTCACCAGCAGCCCTCGAAAGTGGCGACAGTGTAGCAGATCGCAGCCCTCCATGGACGGCGAGGTGGCGAGGTCCACCTCAGATCCCCGCGGTGCCTCACACTGCATGACCCACCAGCAGCCTTCGAAAGTGGCGACAGTGTCGCAGATCGCAGCCCCCCAGGGACGGCGAGGTCTCGCTCAGATCCCCGCGGCGCCTCACTCCGCAGGACCCACCAGCAACCCTCGAAAGTGGCGACAGTGTGGCAGATCGCAGCCCCCAGGGACGGCGAGGTCTCGCTCAGATCCCCGCGGCGCCTCACTCCGCAGGACCCACCAGCAGCGCTCGAAAGTGGCGACAGTGTGGCAGATCGCAGCCCCCCGGGGACGGCGAGGTCTCGCTCAGATCCCCGCGGTGCCTCACTCCGCAGGACCCACCAGCAGCCCTCGAAAGTGGCGACAGCGTAGCAGATCGCAGCCCCCCGGGGACGGCGAGGTCCGCACAAAGCAGGAGGAGGCAAAAGGGGAACGGCAGACTCAGAGGAGCTTAAAGTATTGATATTGATAGTATTCCAGATTTTCAGGTTTTCCTGTTCTCCCGCGCGGGCTCCATGGACGAATTGTCGAGCGCATTCCGTCGCGCAGGTTCTTTGTGTGACGTTCGTGGTGCATGTTTCGCGCATCGGAGCGCTCTCGAAGATTCCAAGCTGCAAGCTGTGTTGCTCTTGGGGAGTCCGCGAGTCGCAGCTGCCGTGGCGCTGTTTTCGAGGTGGCCCCTTCGAGTGCTGTTCGCGGGCGCAACGCGCGGCGCGCGCTGCGCCCACGCGCGGCGCGGCGCGTGAATCAGCCGGCCGCGCCCGTCGGACCGCCCGGACATTATTTCTGGATTGTAGAATGTGTCAGAAAACGCTTCCGCATTTTTTTTCTGCGCAAGCGGTTCTGGAATTTTTCAAAAAGGAGCCCGGCAATTTTCCAACCAAAAAAATCTGAGGGATGGAGTGCGCCCGCCGCTCAGGACATCTGAGGTCCGGAGTTTTTTCCAGAATTGTCCAGAGTCGCGCGTGATTTGCCTTGCCGGGTTTTTGAAATCCGCCGAGGCGCGCGGTGCGCGGCGGCGGGCGATGAGACGGCGCGCCACCGTCCCCCCCGCGCCCGGCAACGAGAAGGGGGGTCAGCAAGTGCCAAATAGCCCCTTACGGGCGACCGCTCGATTGCGAATGGGTGACCGACCAACGGCACCAGCCAGAGTAGACAATACTCGACGCGAAATGTACCCCGCGCGAAGGCTGTTAGAAATCCTGGAATCTCCGGAACGTGTCAATCGCACGTTGTGTCCATAGATTCTTTTCGTCCTAGAAGCGGGAGGCGGGAGGAGAAAGGATGACAACTGGAGACCGCAGTGCTGTATTCTAAACGAATGCCCAACCCCAAGCGGCTCCACGAGAGCCCGAGAGAACCGCTCCGACTTCCCCCTCTGCGTCGCGACCCACCCGCGATCCAGATCGTCTTGAATAACAATTCGGCGCCTGCGGTGGGCTCGTTATACAATGTGTAAAACTTCGGCGCCTGCGGCGAGCTTCTCCGGAGTCTCGCAGGCTGCCGACGTCCCCGCCGCCCTCTCACTCTTATCCGCATCTGCGGGGTGCTACGCTGCGTCATTGTTTTTGCCACATGCGGCGCGTATTCCGTGGCCGTGTGCTCCAGGGTTCGGCCTGCTTCCCGCGTGCCGTTTGGCTTCCCCGCCGTTTACGAAGCCCCGAACCACAGGCCAGCGCACTTAGATCATTCTCTCTCGGAATCCACCCTGCCGCCGTCTTCGATCCCTCCTTCCGACCATTGTTGTATATGTTTACCCGTTTTCGATCCTCCCTCCCCTCGTGGGAGCACGGGGACCGCATGCTGCCTGGATGCTTCTGCTCACGTGCCAAGGTCCCCCAAGATCACCCCGCCGCCGTCCTCCAGGAACACAGAAAATGCGGCACCATCACTTTTCGGCGGGGGGGGAAGTGATAATGATAGGGCCTTCCCAGAAGGTTCGGAACCCCCCCCGGCCTTCTGGGATGTTTCCCTAGCCTTCCCGAAAACAGAAACAATAACAGTTTCTCGGTTGGCGCGAGGGTTTCCGAGAAGTCCTGCCGCTTTTTCTGAGATGGCCTCCTCCTCATTGCTCCCCCCTTCGCCAGCCGGCGAACCACCAGCGCGCGCAGCCGGGGGTGGGGGTCCTGGTGGCGTGCCCCCCCGATCTCGCCGAGCGCGTTCCTCTGCTCGCAGAGCGCCTACTCGCAGACGTCCAAAGACCACACGTCTGCCTCGACGCGATGGATCGTGAATCCCCCACGGCGTATCCAGGCCATTTGCGAGCAGTTACTTTGCGAGTCGTGGAACGCGCTTGTCTGCCCTCGCTCGAGACATCGCGGATCCCCAGCTCAGCTCGGGGGAGAGGCACCGTGGCCCTCCTCGGGGCCTGAGAAGGCGGGGGCCCATGCCAGCGGGGGGTCAGCCAGAGCGCCGGACCTTGCATGAAGGCGGGCCTGTCCCTCTGCAGGAGGAATAGCTAAAAATAGCCACACACACACACAAAAAAAGATGGGGACGACTTTTCTAGCATTGTTTGAGTATTTGGGGGCATTTCTGGGTTATTTGTTACTTCTCATCCAAAGCCCGCCTGTAGGAGGACGTGTCCGACCTAAGCCTTGCAGGATTTTGCAAAGCCCCGGTCGCATCGACCCTCGGGCTCGCATGCAGGATCCTGCAGGAGCTTGCCAGATCCTGCGGGGCCTGACTGACCCAGGACTGGACTGGACCAGGTCAGTAGATCCCCGAGATCTGCACGAACGAAATAAGCACGGAAAGAATGGGTACAATGCTCAACAGCAGTTCCTGTTCCTTTTGGACAGGACTCGCTATCCGCGCCGCCGCGGCCTGTGTCCATTCGAAACAGAAGGCCGCCTGCCCAACAGCGGCCGCTGTTGGTTTGGGACAACATTCGTTGTTGGGCATTGTACCCATTTTTTCCGTACCCACTTCGGGCGTCCAAGCGAGATTCCCCCCTCCCTCCGAGTTCTCGGCGTCCTCCCTCCGAGCGCCGCTCCTCCAGGTGATGGCGCTGCAGCAGCAGGAGGCCAAGCGGGAGCAGGAGGCGCCCAGAACCAGCCCCGCCGACCTCGCCCGCTCCCTTTTGCGGGGGGGCGGCCGCGGACCGCCGCCGTCGCCGCCGCCAGAGGATCGACGATCGAGTGTCGAGGATCGAGGATCGCGGATCTTGGCCGCCCCCGGGCCTCCATGCGAAGAGGACGATCGGGAGGGGATGGGATGGGATGGGATGGGAATCCACGAGTCTGGGCCTCCTAGATGGGGTCGGAGTAGATGGGGTCGGAGGATCGCGCCGCATCGCGGGTGCGTCGCCGATATGCGGCTCGATGTGCAGCCCCATTTGCTTCACGTCGACGTCGCCGATGCATCGCCGACGTCGGCGATGCATTGGCGGTGCGTCGCGATCCTCCGACCCCATCTACTCCGACCCCATCTAGAAGGCTTCTAACGAGGGGTTGGCAAGGACAGTGCGGGTGGCGGCAGCCCCGCCGCGACCTCCCAGCAGCCGGCCCCAGCGCAGCTGCACGCTCCCGGGCGAGGGCTACGCCCAGTCAGTTGGGCGTTGCGTAAAGTGGGGCCAGAAAGGAGGGGGGGGCAAGGGTGGTCCGAAAAGGTATCCGCAACGGTACCTAAGCAAGCCCCCTGGGGCTCCGGAGGGGCACGGAAGGGGACCGTTTCTGACCCCCCCCATGTGTAACCCTCCCCTGAAGCCACGCCCAAGTCAGAGCCCTCGGGCATGTCTTCGTCCACGGCGCAGTGGCGCCCTCGCTTTGTCCACCTCGGCGAGGCCGTGCGGGGCTGGGACCTCGGCCCAGCCAGCGCCGGGGGCGTGGCGCCGCCTGCCCGCCCAGCTGCGCGGCCTGCCGCCGCGGTTGGGCCAGCCGCTGCCCCGAAGCCTAGCTGCGAGGTCCCCCGGGGTGTCGGAGGCGACGACAGGGGCGAATAGCCCAGGGGGGAGCAACACATGATCATCCAGGGGCGCCGAGGATCTACGTCTTCGACTAGGCTCCCGGGCGAATGCGTGTAGTGCCCGCCCCTGAGTTCTTCGTCCCTATCGTCGCCGCCGAGGGTGGACTCCCGCAGTCTGGAGAGCACCTCAAGCAGTGGCGAAGCGTCCCGGCTTGCCTATATAGGCCCACGGAAGAATGTCCTAGGAACCTTTCGTGGGTCGCACGGAATGTTCTTCGAACATTTCTGGCCGAGACCGTTTTGTTTTTCATACATCGGGCTTATGCTCCAATACCTACTTGTGGTTCTTAGAACATTCGGGGGTTCTAAGAGCATGTCGTGGTAGGCTTATAGGAATGCCGGGGCGGTTGGTCCCTGCTGAAGCACCCCCGTGTTGCACTGGCGGTGCCCGGGGGTGTCGCCCATGCGCGAGGCGCGCCCGCTGGCACTGCGGCGTCGCGGCGTTCGCCCCGTGGCCGTGTCCCTGCCAAGCGCAGGGCGCACTCCGTGCCATGGGCCCCGCACCTCACGCATTCAGGAGGGGAAAAAACACGCAGACACAATTACTCGTCGACTCCCCAGAAAATCTGGGAACATCTGGGAAGTGGAGGGGAAGACAAAGACCCAGAAAATTTATAGGACAGTATAGGGAATCCTGTTATTTGTGTGTAGTTATCTGTGTGTCCCAGGGCCCCCTTTACGCATGCCGGCATGCCGCACTCCAGGCTGCCGGGCCTCGGCAGCCTGGAGCAGGTGCGAGGGTGCTGCGTGCGTGCCCGCTGCCCCTCGGCGATCGCCGGTCGCGGGGGCGGCGCTGCCTCCCCCCCACCGGCCGGCGCTGCGGGCGATCTCCTCTGGCTGCTCTGGACGCCCGAAATGGGTACCGAAAGAATGGGTACAATGCCCAACAACAATTCCTGTTCATTTTGAACAGGACCCGCTGTCGGCGCCGCCGCGGCCTGTGTACATTTGAGACAGGAGGCCGCCTGCCCAACAGCGGCCGCTGTTGGTTTGGGACAACATTTGCTGTTGGGCATGGTACCCATTCTTTCGGTACCCATTTCGGCTGTCCAAACCCCCCACCGGCCGGCGCTGCGGGCGGTCTCCTCTGGCTGCTCCTGCGGCTGCAGTGGAGGCCCCTGCCAAGGCGCGCCCTGCTTGCCTCCAGGGTGCCCTGGGTTGCTTGGCTTTCGATGGTTTCGCGGTGGAAGGTCCCCGTCCGCCAGGATAGCGCGGAGCTCCCTCGGCCACCGCGCGGGTTCCCGGGCGACGTCGAGCAGCATCATCGCCAGTTCCCCTGCGCCGGCGGGCATGACGTGGCAGGCTGCCCCGCGCGTGGCCCAGACAGCCGCGGCCGCACTGCCCGCGCGTTCCCAAGGCGTGGTCCTCCCTGCATCGCCGTCTGCATGCGTGGCGTGGGCGAGGACGGCGGCGACTGTGAAGCAGTCGCCGAGCCTGAGCGAGCTCCAGAAGGGCCTCCAAAGACGAGCACGCTCGTCTCCCGCAGGACCTCCCCTGGTGCACCACGCCGGAGGGCGGGCACCGTGCCGGCGTCGACGAAGAGGGTCGAAGTGCGTCGCCACGTGCGGGAGCGCGGAGGTCGCGAAGTCCTCGCCGTCGCTGCTGAGCTGCCCCGGGCACATCCCCAGCGGCACTGCCCCATGCAGTGGAGGCGGCCCATGCCGAGAAACACCCTGCTTGCCTCCAGGGTGCCCTGGGTTTCTTGGGTCTCGATGGTTTTTCGGCGACAAGCGTGACGTCCACACACCAGAAATCAATGGGCGTCCCGGGGTTCCAGGGTTGGGAGTCTTGTGGAAGGTTTCTTGTGGTCGGCCCCCTGCGTGACGCCGCTGCCTCGGGCACCGCCCAGCGGTGGCGCTGCACCGCTGCCCACCCGGCCCCTGCTGGTGACCAGCAGGCCCTCCTGGATCGGGACGATCGTCATGGGTCCACATGGAGAAAGAAGGGGCACAAGGACCGACTGCAGCTCGTGCTCATTCTGGGCAGGGTTCGCCGTCGGTGTCGCCGCGGACGGCGCCCATGTGAAACAGAAGGCCACCTGCCCAACAGCGGCCGCTGTCGGTTTTGGCCAGCCAGCATCTGTTGTTGGGCATCGTACCCCGAAGTCGGGCATGTCCCTCTACAGGAGGATCATCCAAACATAGTCACAAGCTAGTCTGGGGACCCCTGTTTGGATAATGTTTGGACTCTTTGGTGGTATGTTTGAATATCATTCAATAGTTCGTCCAAAATCCACCT